AGCATCTCTCTGGTTTTTACTCTCTTGAAAGCTGATACTCAGAAATACCCAAGAATAAAAGTAAGTAAATGAGCATAATCCTCAGTTTCGTAATATAATATCCATACTTTTTTCCCAAGCCATGCCTGGAAAGACACATCAAAAAAATTTGAATGAAGCCACCCACGCTATGGTATATCAATCCACAAGTTATCAGAACAACACGCACATCCAGGGCAACAGATTAATGAGACTGCTTGTAGTTTCAATCTCAATAGGCCCTTTGTTTCTATTATCTGAAGTAAAAAGGCAGCTTTTTCTTCTAAAGCTACAACCCTTACATAGATTTTGAATATGTGTGCCACAAACGACATGCTGGAAATTGCTAAACTTTCTTCTTTTATAAAGAGTGATAACGCATTAAAAAAGCCACACATACACATGTAGTCCCACTGAGGTCAATACGATGTTTCACATATTTAAAATTAAGTACTTGCTGAGTTGTTCTCCTAAAATTTGTTCTGAAATGAACTTTAGCTACGAACAATTTGCAGAATTAGTTTTTCAGAGCCTTGGTTATTTTGCCTGATCAGTTAAAGTCAGCATTGATACAGATATGAATTCTACCTCTAGTTGTTGAGAACAAAGATCCTTCTCAGTATGGAAGAAGACAAACTAGAACAGATTATCTGTCATCTAATCACAGCACTGAAAGGTGTATGCAGAGACTGACTCAGAGCATACTATATAACAGCCAGCTTGTAATGAACAGAAACATATATGAAAAATGCCAGATTGTCACTCCGGAAAACTGGCATTCTTCGTCCATAAAAAAAAAAGCACAGATTAGTTGGCTCCAGCTTTGTCTGTACCATTCCCACTAACATGCCTAAAGCCTGAACAGAGTTAACTTCCTTTTGGATAGGTAAACCTCATTCACTTTCTTTTTGTGAAAGTTAATGTGGAGGCCAATGAATTCCAGTCATTTTATGATCCAACTATCTTCCTCTGAGGAGTAACTGTAGGAAACGATAACAGAGAAGTAGTGTTGTCATTGTCTTTCTAATAAGTAATACTGAATGAGCAAATCATTTCAAAGAAGCGAAGAACCAAACTGAATTTATCCAGCTGACCATTGGTGAAAGGTTTCATAGACATTTATTAATCTCAGAAGTATCATACTGGTTTTCATACTTCTGAAATACAAGAAAAAGCAAGCCATGTGGGTTTCTTAATGTGAAAGTCTGGCTTGGTCATTCATTATCTGTGTAGTTTGATAATTACCTATTTCCTAGGTAAATTGCTTTGGACATTTACTTTGAGGTAGCAGATTAATGAAGTTCTTTGAAAACTTCAGGACCTTGAAAATCTACAAAGCTTCCGGAACAAAATTTTCCAGGTCAGTGGTTATGGTACATTTAGAAATCCAGAAGACAGCACAAATTTGTGCCTCTGCTTGTATAGAGTTGGTCAAAACCTTACTCAGAGCAACACTTGTATAGATCTTTGAGTCCACTGAATTTAAGTAGTGAAAATAATAAGCAGTTCAGTAAGCATGAACCTGTGATTTACTATACAGAAGCAATAAAGGATTTCAAAATAGCTGATAACTACACTGTCAAGGACAGTTCAACCAGATAACACTTCTTCTCTTTGGTTGTCTTTAAAAGTTAAATCGTCGGAACATTTGTGACCAATGTGATATGCCTGGAATTGAACAGTAGTCCTGACTTTCTGTTAACACTTTTTTCATGTTGGCACAACTCCATTGGCTCTAATGGAGTAATATTAGTTTATAATACTATATGAAGTGACTTAGCGTATATTATTGTAGCAGCTTGGGTAGGTGTCCCCACACAGTCTTGCACCTTAGCTGCGGAAGCTCGCAGGGGATCGGGTAAGCACCTATGGTCTCCCAGCTCACCCTCCGTGGGCTCTGGGACCCAGTGCTCCCAGCTGCCGGATTAGTTTCAGCAGCACAAACTACAGTCGCTCTAAAGTACACACTGCAATATGATTTTCAGAAAAGCGACATTCTCACATAGTGCTGTACGATTTTTCTTACACCATCATTCACTCAGCCGGAGGCAGCCTTCACTTGGCAAAGACAGCATGGTTTTGATAACTGTCAGATTTACTCTTTGTGTAACCATCAGGCTGTCAGTCACAATGCTGGGTGGATGGCTTTCTTTTTATATACATCATTTCTTTTGATCCTGGCAAAGGTTCAAACTGTTTTCATCCTTCCTCAAAACTTTCTATTGATTTTATCGCATCATAATGGCAGAGAAATGTAACAATCCCATCCCTGGAGACCTCACTACTGTGCACGCTGGGGAGAAACACGTTCAGACTGTGCTATGGATGCAGAAAACCTCCTAACATTAGCATTCACTGTTGTCTGATAGGATTATGCAGAGGAAAAGGGGCTGTAGGCATGGATTTAATACATTCTTGAACACTAGGGCTGGCCTGGATTGAAGGACTGGTTAGATTAATGGCACAAAAGGAGTCTGGCATCAAGGTTCTGTGCTGCAGAGCTTAAGTCCCCTGCACTTGCTAACCCAGGATCCACCTCGCCGGCGCTGGCCGGGCACCAGGCAGTGCCCGCTATACCCTTTCACCGGGAGCTGGGCTTTGCAAACTGTTTCCCAGCTAGAGCATCATTATAGCACACAATCAGGCAACTTGGGAGGGGGTATCATAAAGCAGAAGTTTTTCACTGTTGAATTAAAGTAACTTGATTTTGTAGAATTTCAAGTTCGAGGCCATTGAGGATATTAAGCAGAGGGATGAAAATACCACAGCAACTTTTTTGCAAGAAGTTACCATGAAAGACAAGATTTTTGTAAGGCTACAAGGACTTTATAAGAAACTATAGAAGAGTAGTTATAGAAAAAAAATAGAAATCTTTATTGCATTACAAAATTGACTATTACCAAATTGACTAGAAAGATTCAGATAATGCACAAATTGCTTTACACATTGTAATATGGCTACATTTACATGTCTGAGTATAACAGCAGAGGAAAACAAACAAAAAAAACCACAGGAGACAGACCAACAAATGCTAAGGACTTGTATCATTTCAGAATGTACAAAAATAAAAATAACCATTCACGCTTACACTTATAAACCTGTCCTTGAAACTGCATCATGGGAAAAATACACTAGTGACCATAATAGTTAACATACAGTGTTACATGCAGGGCAGTGACAACTTTAACCTTTAGATACAGGTATTGAAATCTCCACAAGAAACAGACCTCTGAAATGTTTAGGATCCTTATGTCCTGTGGGTCTTTGAAACATACATTTTATATTACTCATCTGATGAAGTAACTATCCTGTTAGGATAATCATCATTTAATAGTGGCAGAACCCATAGGATTCCAGTGATTCCATTTATGGATAAGGCCTTTCATGCAATAAAAGACCACTATGGTTTTACAATAAAGTTGTGATAAAATGGCTTGTGTGGGAGTTGGAGGCATGAAACTCTGGGTATGAGCAGAGTATGTGGCAGGCACAGTACTGCAACTGTTCAAAGTACTGTGCAGACATGAGGAATAAATCCTGTTATATACCTTTGTTCTTATTTCCCTTTTATTAAGGAAGTGAATAGTGTTAGGGAAAGTATACTTCTTTAATTATTCTAATTTTTAAGGCCTGTTGTTAGCCTTATTACAGACTGCCATCTTACTTCTCAGTTTAATTCATGACACTGCTAATTTGATAAGGACTGAGTTTCTTTTCCATTAAGCTGACTCCTCAAAGCTCTTCAACTCTGAGCTAACAGGGCCAGTTCAGTCATGACTGTTGTCCCCACAGGTGTCCTATATGACACCCACAAGCTGGAAACCAGCTCTTTCCAAGCTAGCCTGCTGGACAGCTTGAGGCTATGATAATTTCACTGTGCACTAACAAGAACTATACATAACATGCCACAGCTCATTATCAAGCTCTATCCTGTACAGCCCCTCAGCTGCACTAAATCAGTATATTTGCATAGGTATATGAACGTGCATGGTATTTTTCTTTCCTTTTTACATTGCTAGTTACAGCTGACCTAACTAACCACATTTTCCCAATAAAACAGTATGGGAGCTTTTCTTGGTACTGTTTCTAGCTCAGCAGTTGTTCAAGGGACACACGTTGCAGTTTCTCCACTGGTTACCATAGGCTTTGACTTTCCCAGTTGATGTATATTTTTTCAGAGAAGGCAGCAGCAAGGTTGGCATTTATTTTCTGCAGCTGTATTAAAGAGAAAAGAATGTATATAGTGATCAATTGTTTAAAAGCAAATAGCACTGAATGAGCTTCAGTTAAAGGAGTTACTCAGATTATACTGGGTGATTTTTTTCCTGTGGTGTTGGCCAGCAAAAAAATACCACCCCCAGTATTTTTTTGTTAGCTTATTTGTATAAGCTTGTGAGCAGAGAAAATCTTACATTCAGTTTTTTTGAACCAAAAATGTATAATAAGTTGCAACATCGCATGACTATTTACAAATAGATATTTCTTTTCTTTATCTTTCTGTCTAAAATCAAGTTTTCTTATCTAAACTCTGTAGTGCACTGGTGTACTCTTCCTTCACTAGGGCATTTTCTTTTTAAACTGTATATTGAAGCTCAAAATCAAATACTGTTTTTCAGGAAATATCTTCTAGAAATGCAGTGGAGAAGTTATATTATAACAAAATAATGGCTATTATTTTCTCCTACAATATATAAATTTTTATTTCCCCATTTCTGATCTGCATCATGCACAGAAGACATGCTGTCTTGGAGTTTAAAACTAGACAGCTAACTGCAGAGCCATAAGCCATGCAAAATTTGTCTTCTTAGTACATAGAATATTTTCTGTTAGAAGTAACAAAACGTGATGGCATTTAATAAATCTCTCGTGAGAATAAAGCTTAGAAAAATATCTGCTCTCTTACACTCACAGTTCTATAAAAATTCTAAATGATGTTCCAAGAAAAATGTCTTATATACTCAGGAGACCCTTATGCACATACCTTATCGTCTGTGAAATGCAATGGGAAGCTCCCGGCTGGGAATCAGTATTCCTGAATGGAGTGTTTCTACTGGTTTGTCGTCAGTTGCTACAATTTGGTATTTGCGAATGAGCTGAAACACAAACATTCAGTGAGCATGCTTTGGCTTCTAGATCTTCTGCTTAGGCTAAATGTTGAACAACCAGGCATTGTGTACAGAATGCCATTTTAGAGTATTTACCCAGCAAAGGGCCAAGTGAAGCTGTAGCTCTGCTACACGGCGCCCGATGCACATCCTCTTCCCAATGCCAAATGGAACATGAGAAAAAGGATTTATTAAGTCCTTCTGAAACCAGCGCTCTGGTTTAAACTGAGTCCAGCCATTAAAGTACTCTTCATTGCAGCCCAGGGCATGGCTATTTATCATTAGTACGGTCTACAAACAAAGCAATAGAGAGAGTCTCATTACAAATTGGCTTAGAGCTACCAAGTGAATCAGTTTGTTAATGGCAAAAAATAATGCAACAGTAAAGGTGAGGTAATTTCCTCAGAAGATGTCGTGTAATTCTCTGAAGATTATTTCCAACACAGAAAAGGTCATAGTTTCCCCAGAAAATCATGGGAAAGTTTGAATTTTTTTTAAATAGCACACCAAAATATTTTTATCTAAATCAAACAGCAGTGCAGGCAGGTATAGTTTTCAGTTTATGGGAATTCTTGGTGTGAATTCCTCATTCCTTATCCTGGGACTCATCCTTTGGCAAAGTCACTCAGACTGAAATACATCCAACTCCAGTGGTTTACAGGACAGTTAATCAATGACAAAATATTCTAGTAAGCTAAATTGACTTACCCCTTGGGGCAGTACATAATCCCCCAGAACTATTTCTGTGTCGATGGTGCGAGTGGTAAATGGCACCGATGGTGTTAATCTAGAGTGAAGGAAACAAAATGGGTTAAATTTCCAGCATTTCTTCTTCCTGTATCTATCATAGTTTATGTTAAACAACAAGGTGAACAAAATTATATATACTAGTGTTGTGGCTTAACCCCAGCCAGCAACTAAGCACCACGCAGCCGCTCACTCACTTTCCCCCCCACCCCGGTAGGATGGGGGAGAGAATGGGAAGGAAAAAGGTAAAACCCATGGGTTGGGATAACAACAGTTTAATAGGACAGAAAGGAAGAAACTAATAATGATAATAATAACAATAATAAAATGACAATACTAATAAAAGAATTGGAATATACAGGTGATGCACAATGCAATTGCTTGCCACTTGCCGACCGATGCCCAGTTAGTTCCCCAGTGGCAGTCCCTCCCAGGCTAACTCCCCCCAGTTTATATACTGGGCATGACATCCCATGGTATGGAATATCCCTTTGGCCAGTCTGGGTCAGCTGCCCTGGCTGTGTCCCCTCCCAACTTCTTGTGCCCCTCCAGCCTTCTTGCTGAGCATGAGAAGCTGAAAAATCCTTGACTTTTAGTCTAAACACTACTTGGCAACAACTGAAAACATCAGTGTGTTATCAACATTCTTCTCACACTGAATCCAAGACATAACACTATACCAGCTACCAGAAAGAAAATGAACACTATCCCAGCTGAAACCCTGACAACTAGAAAATTCTTTCTCCTTAGTACACACTAGCTGGTAAAAACCTGTGATCATTTTGCTTTTTGCAAATTATTTGAGAAGTTTACCTCATGGATTCTTTCAGACATGCTTTTAGGTAGGGCATATTCTTCAAGTCCTCAGCACTTGGACACTCATTAACAGCCAAAACACTCTGTATTTCCTGGAAAAGCTTCTGCTGAACATGTGGATTGCGTGAAATGTTATACAAAGCCCACAGTAAACTATTGGCCGTCTGAAACAAACCAAAAAGAAACATAAGACCTCCATTTGTGGTGACAGAAACAAGAAGTTGCCAAAAGTTCAAAGCAACATTTACAGCTGGTCACTGCCTTATGGTATTTTGTAAGCCTAAGGGATTATGTTGTTCTCTAGGAGTAATGAACAGAAGAAATAATCTAGTGATTTCAGGTAAAAATTCACTTGCACTTAGGCCACTGAAGCAACTACAGGATTAGCTCACTCTCAGGTGTTGTGATGGTTAGGTTATGGAAGAAAGAAGGGAGTTAGAAGGATGCTAATTTTAACAAGCTCTTGGAAAGTCAGGTTTACCGTTTCAACGCCAGCAATCTGGAGCTCTGCGATAGCAGCGTACAGCTCCTTCTTGGAAAGTTGTCCTGCAGAATAGATGTCACACAGGAAATCCTCCTGGGGGTTTGCAGAGTGTTTTTCCAGTCGACAGTCAATTGAGTGCTTGGCTGAGGAGGGAGAAACAGGAGGTAATTAATGGAAAATTACTAAAAATACTATAAATAAAAGCAAAAATATGTCTCACATGCAGGATTTTGAAAGAAGATACCAAGCTGTGATCTTTTTTCAGGCAATGAGTATTATACTGAATAATGGTATTTTCACTTTTTAGACAAAATAGTCACAAAAATCACTTCTGAACAGAAGAAGCTCCTGCAAACTATTAGGAATTCCACTTTCTTAAATTAGGAAAGGAAATCAGTGATGTGTTGAATGAAGTATTTAGCAAACAGAAATACAAGTGTGTAAAATTTATTAGCTTGGATCTTCAAAGGGGATCAATGTGTTAAAGAATCAAAGAGACTTAGCACTCAGACTCCCCAAGGGGAAATTTAAGCCTTTGATTTACTAGGGGAAGGCAAAAATAGATGCCAAATTTCTACATGCTATTTTTTTTTTAAATATAGAGGACTAGATTTTGTCCGCCCTTTCTCATGAATATCCCAATTGTTAAGACCAGTTCCTAGTAAGGATATCTTCATGTCAAGTGAAAGTGTCACTGTCAGTGTTTTTTTCTGAACAAAACTGGTTTGAAGTGTCTTTCCTAAAACCCATAAAGTAAGAAGCAATAAAATAATTGCACATGTGGCTGGCTGACCAAAGGTCCTGAAGTATCAAGTACTCAAATACCCAAGAGAAATATATCACTCAGCATTACAATCATTCAAGCACCAAAATCTTTCTTAATCTATAGCTATAACTGCCACTGTCTAGCAAAATATTGCAAAATATAGACTTAATTCCATATCTGGAGTTAGAGTAATTTTTGTAACCTTGAAGGCCAATTCATCTTAAATAGACAGAAAATGTTGTCAAAAAGCCAAACTGTACTTTATGATTTAAATTGCTTCTGTTTTTAAGACTTACGACTATATCCAGGTTGTTCAGAAAGCCTATCTTTTTTTTTTTTTAAGCAAACAGGCTTTTGTTGCATGTAAAATTCTTGTTTCTCAAGAAAACAACTCCCTTTGAGGTCTCTTTGAGGGAGGTCCCTTTTCTCACTCACATACCTTGCCTTTAGAGATATTACACACTTTCTGGCTATTTACTTTTATGGCAGATTAAAGTGGACTCATGATGTTGCTGGCTCCCAAATTTCCGGGGCTTCCTTGGGGATTGGGTATTGCCCCACAACCAGACCTAAGTGTTAGTCATAAGAAAACAGTGCTCCCATGCTTGGAATAGGTTTGTGGTTAGCTGCAGCAAAGGTGTCTCAGTCTGTGCCAAAGGCAGCAATTAACAGCAGCATAGAGCAGCAGCAAGTATGAAGAAAGTTAATTCCACCAAGTAGGAAACAGAGATTAAGGGAAAGGAAAGAAATAGTGTTTAAAACAAGAACCTGTTTTAAATATATCGTCCCATGCTTTAGTGTGAGCTTGCCAGACTTTTGTGTTCAGACCCTTGTGAAGTTCCACAGGGGTCACCATCATCATTCCAAAAGTAGCCATCATCTGTGGTGGAGAAAGAGTTTTTGAAATCTTTCTTTAATCTATTTACTTGCAATCTCTGAACACAATTAGACTGTAAAGTAGGAGGCAATTTTCAGGGAGTTGAGATTCTGGCAGATTTTCCATCCTGGACAGAAAGGATGGTTCTCAACCTACTTAGACCATATCCAGCTAAAAATTAGGAACAGCCAGTGGAGGATAGGAGGCTTTGCCAGTGGGTGATTCATCTTATCTATTTTAGGCACCTGTTTTAGAATAGGACAAGCCACCCTTTGGCAGTGCCTCTCTCTCCCTTGACAACAGATGGAGCTAAAAAACTAGGCTAGGCTAGATACCTAACTTTTAGATGGCTAAAATTAGGCAGATATAGATCACCAGAGTCCAAGTTGCAGCAAAATGCACAGCAGGTGTGCTTGCAGGAATGACTAACCTCCAAACCCAGCATATTCGCATAATCCCACACAACTCCAAGAGTCCCACCCAACAAACAGCAGTGTTGCACAACAGGCGTCTCAGAGGGAGAAGAAAGTTAACTAACCAACCTGACAACTCTATTTCCAGGATTACCTTGACGTCCATACAGCATTGTTCCCCTACAGATTTAGGAATTTCATAAATGAGACAGTCATTCAGTACTAGTTTTGCACGTAAGTGTCACCTTGGATATGCAAGGCTGCCTGCCCATACACATGTGGTACAGAAGCTTAAGTTTCCTTTTTCGGGTGACCCATTTAAACTGGTATGCTCTTGTTAGTTGTAGGGGTAGAAAATCACTACAGCCCCAGTAAAGACTCTTCCATACCGTTTTTACAGCCTTGATGAAGTTCAAACTTTCTTCTTCTACATCCTGCTGTAGGAGACCAAACCTCTTTCCATACAGCACCAGACAGATACCTGTTGTTAAGCAAACCTAGCATTAAATGATATAAACAAAAAGGTACATGGTGTCCACCATTTATTGTCAAGGAATGGCTTGGATTACCTTATTGAAAAATGTTCTATGATACACACCTGTGAGAGCAGCACTCAAAACACCCTCTGCACGTTTGCCTCAGACCCAAGTAGCAGTATATCTAGCTAAGGTGCCCTTACAGCGGCACTTTCTTCACAAATAAGAATCACCACTGATCCCCTCACAAGCAGCAGATCATTCTGACAAGCAGGGCTGGCATATTTGGCAAATAAGCTGTTAGGAAACACTACTGAAGAGAACTGAGTTGCAGAAAAACTGGGCCTGAAGAGGCCATCTACTCCAGCATCTCCTAGCCCTTTCCACAGCCAGAAGCCACTTGCAAACACTGGCAGGCCGCTGGTCGGGCCAAGGGG